AGTGTTTTACGGCGCTCGCAACTGCGCGACACATTAAACTTTTTCAGTTGGTAGGATCTAAGAAATTTTGAATTTTGCCCGGGTGGCGGCCGAAGCCTACTCATATCGATTTTAGACCACCAAGGGATCTTTAACGTGCGCAACTTGCACACGGGCCTTCCGAGATTTTTAGCCCTTGTCCGAGAAGGCTAGGCGTTAAATCTTACCTACCATAAGACCAAGGGTGTGACTGAAAGACAGCAGTAAGAAGGAGCCAAGGGGTAGCAGTAGAAAGGCTGCAGAAAGAGTGATCAGGAGCCCAGAGGAGGGGACAAAGAAGGTGAGGGGGTGGGGGCAGAAAGAAGAGACGAAAGCAGACGACAGAACATTGCTCATTGCTAGAGAGCAGGAAAAGAGGTGAAAAGAGACAGTTTTAGAGAATAATATTTTTCGGTCGCTACCCGGATTTGAATGAGAGGCCAACACCTTAACCTCCAAGCCACGAGAGCCCCCCGGCCATTTCGTGAATGTACCAATTTAAAACATGTCAAATAGAACTTACTTAAATGAGGGGATCTACACAATTACTTAATTATTAACGTCAGACGATGAAATGTTGTTGATTTTACTATTGATTACAAAACATTATATCTTGGCTTCAACTACCCCCCCCCCCCCCCAAACCTTTATTCACTTGATCTAGATAACCAATTTAATGTGATATGACGTAGAGACGTAGAGCTGTCCTTTAGTCTTTGTTCACATTCTTTTTGCAGGTCACCACTACCCCAGGGCCTTGCCATCAGCGGGAGCTCTGGCTTTCCTGCAGTCCTATGTATGCAACTTGAACGATGGCTGCGTGAATTCCTCCAACAATGCCAACAAGCATACGGAGCTGGGAGCCAATTTCCAAGACTCGTTGTGAGTAAAACGGTCTTTTTTTCTTTCTTTTTTTTTTTGGATACAGGCTTCTTCATGCACTCTTTTTCAGATAAGGTGGTAGGATGTCTGATTTTCATAGGTTAAACACAGGCTTGGTTTTTGCTTTTTTTTTTGTTGTTGTGTGTTTTTTTTATAATTTGTTTGGGATTTTTTTATGTTTCTTTTTTTAATAATGAAGACTATGTGGTAGGCCTACTCAGCTGAGTCCTATTATTGATGACTTTTGGTGCATTAACTAGCTTTTGTACTTCAACTCAATGGTGTAGGTCGGATTATAATAGTCCTATACGTCACGAGTGGCTACCACTATTGACAGCTGTAAAGGTGACTCATATCAAAATTTGTAATATTATCTTTGATGATGAATAGTCTGTGGCTGCCCAGTATTGTTTTTCTAGTGTCGAATTTGTCTTTTTAGGTTTGTGCTAGAGTAGCACATACGAATAAGAAGCATGTCGTAGTAAAGCAAATTCTATCTAAGGAAAAAAAAACTTTTAGTGAAAATTAGGTTCATATTATATTAAGAGATCAGATACAAGGAAGTCTTTTGGATGAAAGAAAGTATTTTTTTTGTTCATCTAGTTCATTGATATTTAACTTGCCTCAAAATTAATGCTCATATCGAAACATTTTCAAACATTGGTAATGATGCTTCATTTGGGTATTCTCGGGCAACACTTTGTTTGACTGTAAAAGTTGTAATGTTTACCAAATAATTATATATATATATATATATATATAATATATATATGTTTTTATTTCTTTCTTTTTCAGACTAAGTCAAATTCTACAGGCAGCTGATACCATCACATCAAGCGGATTGAGCACAGAAGAACTGGTCTCATTGGGAAAAGATCTCCAGTGGATATTGTCTAAAGGGACAGATCTAGCAAAACACACTGATGAGTTTGGTATGTCCATCTGTTTTTGAAAGTGTGAGGGGGAAAAGAATGCTTTTAAATTTCCCAGAAACAGAAGTGTTCTTTCAAACATTGTTAGACAATCCTGCTGAATAAGGATTTAATCTAATTCTTTCCATAATAATGGTCACTTAAATTTATTTTTTGTGTCTATTTTTTAATCAGGTGTACCCTTTTTAGATTCTGATTCCCCCTCCCCCTCCTTTCACACAAACACACACACACACACACACACACACACACTCATACACACACACAAAAACACACACTCACACACACACACACTTTATAGTCTCTTTCTTTCTCCTCTTCAGCGACCCTTTTACTGGGTCACTTTCTTTAGCTCTGTCTGTAATCATCATAACCCTGTGTCATCTCCGCAGATACAGGAGTGCAAAGCTTATCAGACGTCGTTGTGGAACAGACAAAGCTGAGAGACAAACTCACTGGCCAAGGTGTTGGGCTCAGCTCTAAAGCTGTTGATGGACTCTTGGCTGCAAAGCTGGATCCCATGGCTGTAAGATATTACAAGTCGTGCAAGAGCAATTCTAATAAGTGTTTTATAAGGCAATGTAAATTATTAGATAGGCGTTTGATATTGGTGTAACTCAACACATCAAAATAAAATAAGTATGAACATTTATTGGTCGTTCAAGTGGAAGTAGTATAAAACTGATATTGTGCTTTTTTTTTTTTTTTTTAGATAATTGCAGCGTAGTATGATAAGTATTTATGTTACTGTTTCACAACTACAGTCATTGTTTCAGGGGGGAAAAGCAGGTTGATTTCTGAATATATGAAAGTAGTACTAGGATCAGAGTGTACATGTGGCTTAACCCTTTGTTTCCTATTGCTGCCCATGATGAAGCACTTACATAACTAGGAATGTGGACCAGTAAGAAAAATGTTATAATGAAGCCAATATTTGCAGGCATAGGATAGTTCTTACAACAGCGTTGTCAGTATGTTAAAAGTTCAGCACTAGTTTTGTGCCTATCTCGCAAGTGTCTGTAGGCCTACCCATATGAAATGCACACTATATGATTAATTACTAATCAAAACAATGTTTAGAAAGAACTCTTGTGAAACTGTAACGATTTACTTTGTTCTCCCAGATCTTGACAGATGTGAATCAACAAAGATTAGAGGACTTGTTTGCTGTTTTGGAGATTGTCCTTGGTCTGTCTGCTTCTTCTGATATATCTCTGTCATCGGAAGATGAAGATCAGATCAAGAATCTGCTTTGCCAGGACAAGGTGACTGAGTCTTAAGTCTAATGTATTTTTTTTAAAACCTCAATGAACAGATCATGTTTGTAACCTGTAAGATTAATTGCTGCTAAATTGTAATTTTTATACACATAACTCGTTCACTTTTTCTTGTAGTGTTTCATGAATAGTTTTCAAAGAGGTATGTACATGTGAACAATATGCAATGTTTTATGAATAGTTTTCAAAGAGGTATGTACATGTAAACAATATGCAATGTTTTGTGAATAGTTTTCAAAGAGGTATGTACATGTAAACAATATGCAATGGGAAAAAAAAGATAAATCAAGCAAGAAGACATTGTTTTAAGTTACTCCAAACATTTTTGTCGGTTCTTGAATTTGGTTCAACTCCGATGAGTTATATTTTGTGCATTGTACTTTTTTCTGAAAAGATGAATGAGTAATTGCCAAGTCTGAGTACTTTATCCTTATCTTCTATGCTCATTCAGCAGCAAACATGTACCTGTTTATTGGTAGAGGTGGAATATGTGAATAGTAGAGACTATTTGACTGCAACATTGTATTTTTCCAAAGAGACTTGTAATTTGGAATTCTGTTTATTGAGTTATTGTGCAGTCAGAATAGCCTTTAAGAAAATACACAACCATATAAGCATTTTTTCTAAATTTCCAAAAATCCAAATTGCAACAGTTTCACTCTTTCTTTTTAGATCTTGCTTGAATATTTGGAATTTGAAAGCCCAGAACTAGGAGAGGATGTCCAGTCTGAGGTGTGTCGTTTGAACTCATCGCAGCTGGGACAGATGGTAGAGGATGTGTACTCGGATTTGAACACTACAGAAATCTATGAAGAGGTAGGCATATCATAGTAATTTTCAAATGTTTAAATTGTACTTTCTATGCTTGTACTGTGGCAGTTTTTTAATGATAAATTACACCTATCTCTGTGTATACTTGCTAGGAAATCATGTTTCAGAGAGAGGATAGAGATTCCCTAACAGATGCATTAGAGTGATCATTTTTTCTTATTTTTATTTAGTTTTCCTTGCTACTTGAATTTCAAGATGAACTCAATAGATTGTCACATTTAAAGATATTTTGATTAGTACAGAATGCACCAGCTTGAATGGTCACAAGAATTATATTATTGTTTTAATTTTTTTTGCTTCTGCCTTAGTCTAGAAATTCCTAATGGAACTCCAACAACAGAAGCTAAAACTCCTCAAATGGGCAAGTGCGTCTTTAAACTCTAATTGGTGTTTGACAAGGGCAGCCCAATTCAATGCTTCTTCGTAGGTTTCCTGTTGATAGAAGAAGAGAATGCTAATATCCATATAGGGGTGTGCTCTCTGTATCAGTTCTCAGGTCTAAAACATCAATACAACAAAATTAGTAGGTCTACCACCTAGCACATTTTTCCTGGAAAGCTTCTTTTAAGTAGAGTTGGGGCGAGCAGACGGACGGGTTCGTTACTCGCGGACTCAGTCAGAGCGAGCGGGTAACGGACGGCCATGAGAGCAAACTGCGAACCTCAAGACAGTTCATTTTTTGGGTCCGCTTCACAATTTTACTCTCTCAGTGAGCGGACTGCGGACCTCAAGCCTCAAGTCAGTTCGTTTCTTAGGTCCGCTTCATAATTTTATTCACTGAGTGGGTGGGCGAACGGATGAACTCAAGCAGACGAGATACTCGACGCGAGGCTAGACCCATCGTCTATTGTTTGTTAATTAGGCCTAATGTATCAAACCACTAGTGTTGCCGCAGGGAGTGAGAGAGGCTGGTGACGTAGTACTATGTGTGTAACCTTTCACCTTGTGTGTGGGCACACTGTTTACGTTCCAATTATCGGGAAGTCGAAGCTTAAAGAATTCCAAAAGGCCTTTTCTTTTGGGGGGGGGGGGGGGGTGAGAAATTTGCGCCATGAACGCCTAGTTACAATGTGGGGCAGGAGGGTGATTTTTTAATTTATTTTTTTTTGGGGGGGGGGATGTAAGTAGTATGCAGTCTGTCCATCCGCCCGCTCGAATGCATGGAGTCTCTCCGTCTGCCTGTCCGTCCGCTCACTAAACGAACTGTTGTCTCTGTCCGATGTGTAGCAGGTAGCGAACTACTCTTAACAAGAGGACCATTCGTTACCCATCCGCTCGTTTGCGGGTAGTGCCAGCGAGTAGTTCGTTACTCGCGGATGCTGATTTAGTGAGCCCGACCCAACTTTACTTCTAAGCCATGGAGCCTATAACATTATTTCATCCACAGTATGAGCATATTATTGACCCTCTAAAGGATGCCTTTGGTGGACTAGGGAGCTTGACTTCGATATCTACATTGACGAGACTTTTTGAAGATGTAAGTCTGGTATCATTAGCTGAGGCATTTAGAGATGGGATTTGTCCTTAAGGCTTATCATCCCACTTGCCTGTAGTCGTGGGGAAGATGACAGACAGTGATATAATATGATGGAATGTGACATGCATCCTTCCATTTAGTCATTAAAAGTACTTGATGAGATTGGGTTTTAATTTGCACACTGCACATTTAAAATCACTGCGCTATATTTTGTGATTCTAAGATATGAGCTCAGATAAAGGCTATTTGCTCCTTCATATTATGACGTTTGTCTTTAAGGTATTGATGCTCATATTGTATATGTGAATGTTTCAGTAAGGGTCTTCATTTTAATTTAAAATTTATGTTATCGACTAACTCTTTCTGTACAGTTTCAAACTTTGAGCAAGCTGGATTCGATTGCTCAGAACCTTGTGCAGTCCATTCAAGACCTTTCTTGGGACAGCTTGCCAAGCCCTGGTGTAAAAGATACGTCCATTAAATCCTCTTTAGGAGGCGTTCTCTGTGGAAGAGGCAAGAGTGCTTTCAACATTCAAGAGCTAGAACAGAAGTTTTCTTATCAGCAGAAGGTGCAGGACAGTCGGGGGAGTTTTGATCCACGATTTGAGAATGTGAAGGAAAAGATAGAGAAGAAGAGACTTGGTAAGGGTGAAGCAGGTTTTTTTTTAGTTCTTTCTTTGATCTTTTTCTTTTGTTACACTGCCTTTAATCCTCACTTTAAAATTATTTTTTTCTCTTCTTACTTTCTCTGGAAGTGGATTAAACATTTAAGATTAGAGAAAGAATTTGAGGATTCAGCTAACTAGTATCACCAATATTAATTCTCCAAACAGGCCCATGGTTAGGTGCACTTTTAAAGATGTTCTGCATTGTTGTCTTTCTCTTTATCTGTTTCTACCATTTTGTCTCTCAGTCTTTTTAAAAAATTTATATTTGACATTCTTTGCTGTGCCTATGTTTTAAAATCTAATCAGAATGAGCGCCTTTTGGAGAGCCTTGTATATGTTTTAGACCAACATCCCGTGAAAAACTACGCCTTCAGGTTATAAGCGGCTGTTTCAACCTATGCGCCTCACTGACTCATTGAGGGCTCTAATAATGGGCTTATTAAAATGTTTACACCCCCCCCCCCCCAACGAAAATTGAACACATAAAACAAAAAAGCAACCCAGCCACTGCCTCCCTCATTACACCACCATGACCAAGTCTTTAAACAATCTGGCCACCAATCTTTTTTTATCCCAACAGACCCAAGTTGTGCCTCACTGTTCAGCAGTTTTGAATCCACTATGAACAGCCGCATCTTGTGGAGAGAGCTTAAGCCTATTGTTCTGGGAGTGATCACATATTCCCCAGACACACCTCTCACCAGAAAGATTATTGCCGAGGTAAGTACGATATTCACTTTTACTTGAAGATTTTTTTGTAAATTGTATTCTGTTCACCTTTTAATTCTGTGATGAAATGACATTCTTTCTATGAGTAATATCTGTACCTCTTGTGTTAAAAAAAATCGGAGACTATGCAGCCCTTGCTACTCAGTGACCAATATTCTTTGTGTTTAAATACTTTAAAAACCTGAAGACAGAAATAAAGGCTCTTAGGTCACTTTGTGGGACGGAAATGCATTGTCGTAAAAGTAAGAAAAAAAAAGACTATGCCAAGCCAAAATGCTAACTTATAGCTACGACCCTTTCAAGAGAGCTGTAAAAAAAAGATTTTGTTCTTCCGAAATTAGTAATTCCAGATCATTCATGTCAGTGAGAAAATGACACTTAATTCACTTCCAATATCATTTACAGACTATGAATCCATTACTGAATTGTAGAATGGTTTTTAGAAAAGAAAAAAAAAAGACAAATTTTTAAAGTATTAAAGTAGCGTTCAAAATTATTAATTTTAGAATGCCTTAAAACACAATAGCTTTTGTTCTATATTAATGAAAAAGAAAGAAGCAGGATGACGTGAATTTTTAAACTTTCTTATTTCAATTATTTCTATTCCACAGGCTTCCGGAACTTTCAAATATTTTGAATCCATAGTGGAACTATTGACAAACTTAGAGAAAAATCTGCCTGACTTGGAGGATTTCCTGCTCAAAGATGTGTCTCCAATGCAGGTAGGCTGGACTATTTATTTGTGAGAAGGGCCTTCTGTCAGCAGACTCACAAGTGTCACAACACTTGTTGAGAAATACTGACCTCACTCATGTGAAATCTCATGAATAATAATAATAATAATAATAGATAGCATTTGTATAGCGCATATCCCCGCTCAGCAGCAGGCTCTATGCGCTTTACACTATATTATTACCCCAGCAGACCATAGAACACTCCAAAACATTTTCAGCTTCCCGGGAATATAATTTTTCAATGCTGTCTTTAAACTTTCTCTGCTAGAATTTGTCTTATTAGTCAAAGCAGAAGCCGCAAATTATCTTAATCCTTATTTCTTCTATTTCTTTTGAAGAAATATTCTTCTCTGCAGGTACAGTAGTCATTGTCAGACATTAAAGGGAAAGCTTTTATCATCTTCATGTATGTTTCTAAACCAAAATTGTTTATGTTAGACGCAATCACTTTCTACCACTTTACATGTTTGGTATTTTTTGCTTGGAGTTCAACCCCACTTTGGTTGTTAATGTTAACGATATTTATTTGTCCTGCTGAAGACTGTCACTTACATAAGTGCTTTCTCTGCTCTATGTGGTCTGTTTATCAGGAGCTGACCGAGGCTGGTCCACTTGACCGTCCACTGTGATGTGTCTGTTCCACTTGATGGTTTACCAGTAGCTTCAATCCACAGCACTTAACATTTTCCACGTGTGTTTACATAGGCTTGGGACTTTTATCAGCTGCATTACAAATGTTTTGGTGGTTTTAGTTTGTTTGGGATGGGAGGTTGAAGGGTTCAGGGGGTTTACCCCTCTGATTTTTTTTTAAAGAAGTACATCAGGGTGTGGGAGTAATAGCACAAAATTAGCCTTAAAGCCTTACAGCCTTAAAATTACAGCCTTACAGTAGAGCAGGCTATCTCAGTAGAAAAGTCTGGTAGATTATGATCAGTCAAGGGGGTATACAGTAGACCGCATTTTCGCAGTAGATCATCGAGTGAACTAGCACCAGCTAACCTATCTTAGTTATTTGTCAGCAACCTAGAAGCAGGTAAACCTTTGTAACCTTTACAAATTTGGAGCTGAAACTTGACAATATTGTCTAACCTGCTCTAACAACCACCTGTATAAGACAACCACCTGTACAAACGGCCGATTCGCATTTCCACCCTTGTGTTTTTTTACATTATGGTGACTGTGTAAAACAGTCACCTGTCTCTTCAATGATGGATGGCCGTCTCAGACAATTTTGACTGTAGTTTGAAATATATAAGCCGACACTGCTGATTAATTATGGACGTACATTTATGACTGATTTAAAAGCTCAAATATTTAAATGACTCATTTTTGTGACTCTCCCCAGAAATTTCTTGATAGTCCTGCTTGTTCAGTTTTTGCTGAATTCATAATTTCTGCTGAAATACGAGAATATCTGCCACAAGAATTTACAACTATTTTGGACTTGCTCCCAAATAATCCATGTCAGTCTGTGAGAACTGTATTGGAAGATGACCTGTCCTTCAATGCCACACAGGCGTACAATGTTCTGGATAATGTGAGAGGATTTCTAAAAGATATACTACCATATCTGAAGGTAAGTATAATAAGGCTTACTTGTCCTTTTTCGCATTTACTTTCATTAATTTTAATTTCAGGCTATTATGACTTTAAAATGCCCCTTAAGTTCTGAAAGATAGAAACTTCTGTTAGAAAAAGTACATTATGAGGCTTCTCAGGTAAAATCCATCATGAATGAATAAACATAAAAGAATATTATAGGCCCCTATATATTATTATGATTTCAGTCTGCAGAATGGCTCTTACACAATACTTTTCAGGTTGAGTTTATGATTGGTGAGCAAGGTAATCCATACCCTTGATATGAACAGAAGTAAATATTGCTTGCATGATGAATCAAAATGATTGCGTTATTGGGAAAATAGTATATTATTCTGTGCTCATCAAAACAAGTAGCTACTTTTGGTGAAAAAAGGGAGACTTGACAAAGACATAGCAGAAAAATTTTCAGTCTAAGAAAACGTTGACCCACATTCTTAAAAAGGTTTAATTAAAGGCATCTTTTGGGCTTCATGTTACAACAGCCCAAAGATGACCCCATGGAGAGTGAAGGCCCAGGACATGCGTAGTTAGTCAAGCATGTTACAAATGGGGCGGGGGGGGGGGGACTCTAAATGACTTTTATCTAATCTTTTCTCCCCTCTACAGTGTTTCCGGCTGAATAAGTTTGTTGGTTATAAGAATGCTCGTGAGCTAGAAGAGGAAAGTCTTTCACTCATCGGGAACAAAACGCTCTTGGCTGGTAAGTGTGCCCTCTGACTTGTGGGCTAATATTTTATTATGGCTTTGCTCTTGTCTGTATCTGTGTCATTGAAGATGGGAGCATAGCATGCAGCCTGTGCTGATGTACAAAACTTTTTTTGTGTGTGTTTAATTAACAGAGTTGAGAATTGGTAAATGTATTACAATATAGACATGCCTTTGAAAAATGAGTCAGCTTTAACTGTACAATTCACCTGAGGTACATTTTGATTAAAGTTTTTAATTTTGTTCTTTAAAAAAAAAGAAACATGGGGACTTCAGTGGTGACCTTCTGCAGGTGGTGTTTTGATGGGTAAGGGATGGGAGTGTTCATTATGAGGTTCTATAATTACTTCATAGTTCCCTTTCCCACTTTATTTTCTGCACATTTCGTCTATTTTTTTTTAAATCTCTGTATGCATAACGTTATCATGGTATACGTTTTAATTCCTCCTGAGCTTCTGTTCTGTGTCACCAGCGATTGCATTTGACAACATCAAGCCTGATGACACCGAACTTCCTTCTGTGGTCAAATACCGTATCAGAATGGACGTTGACCGTGTTGAATCCACCAGCATCACAAGGGACTCGTGAGTACATTAGCCATAATGTAGTAGTTGTGCTGTTGTTCCTGTCTGTATTGTAATATACATAGAGCGCCCATGTTGTACTAGGTCTAGTGGGCACACTGACATTGACGATGTGGTGGAGTCTTCAGACCAGCAGTTGCAAATTATGTTGTTTAAGTTCTTCTTAAAGCAGTTGATCTGTTATTTTTGTTTGTGTCCCTTTAGAGTTCTGCAATTGTCTGTCCTTAAACAATGATTGAATTGACCAAATGAAAAGTATCCAATATTCAAGATGAGTATAGCAAAGTGGTTTGCCTTTAAATTAATTCTAAAAGATGTGTGAAGCATTACAAACTCTTAATAATATTTTTAAACATAATATCTGAGACCTATCTTAAATTCCCGGTCACCTTACTCTTTGCAGGTATGTTCGTTTTGGTCCAGGAAATCGTTATAAACTGTTTGCTTACTGGTTCATTGACGTACAAGATATGGTGGACCATGCCATCATACGTCTCCAGACAGGTGATGAGGGATTGGAGATGCCAGGAGTTTACACACAGCAGTTCCCTTACCCATGTTGGACAGAGAACTGGTGAGTCGATATGCAACTACCAACTGACAATATGTTGGTACTTGGTGTAGTTATTATTGTTTCAGCAGTCCTCTGACTTTTGCCAGAATGCTGCAAAGTGATCATTGCAGATTCTTTTCTATTCCTGTATAGTTTCATAAGATAGAGAACATTCTCTGTTTAGGTCTTGGAGAAGGAAGAGTGGCTTTGATATTGTTATGTGCAAGACAGTGTCGTCATGGTCTGTTTTGTGAGGGTAATCCAAAAGCAGGCACATTAACAAAATGATGTGATTGGATTTTGTCAAAGTGAAAAAAAAAAAAAGTGGAATATATGCTGTGTAGTTCAGGCTGACCAAAGATGTTGCTTTGTGTATTTCTTTATTTGAAAAATGCTTTAGGAATACAGTTGTTAGACCTTCTTTTCTCCGTATCTCTCCCTTCTGTTTATTGTATTGTATTTTGAGTTCTCACTGCTAAAGATTCTTCTTTTATATGCCTTTTCTGTTTTGGTCAAGCTCAAATACAAAGGGAAAACAACGATAATTATTCTGTAGTGAAAGAGTTAGTGCCCAGAAATAAATCTATTGAGATATAACATATAAAGCATAAGGTGTACAACAGGTTGGTCAATGCAAAGTCTCAGTACTCTCAAAATAATCAAAGTTGAGAAATGAAGGTCTACAATAAATAATTGGAATTGGACTCGACCTTCCACAACATTGGCTGACATCTTATAACTGACTGAGAAAATACCACCTTTGAGAAGACAGCATGCGTCACTGAAATCAAGTTTTCACAGGCTAAACAAAAAGTTTCTTTTTTCTTATCTTTATACTTTCAACTTTCAAGTCAGACTGAAATTTGTAGGAATAAAAAGCAAGGCAACACTAGATTCTTTTAAAGAATAATTTAGCGTTATATTTTGTAAGTAGATCAACAACAATTAAACAAGTGACTGTCAGACTCTCACTTTCTTTTTTCCTTCCTGAGCTGCAGTTTGTCACACCATGCTGTTTACCCTTCAGGTTTGCCTTCTCCATGGTGGAAACCATGCCTCTGTTTATGATCATCTCCTGGCTCTTTACTGTGGCCATGATCATCCGAGGTATTGTCTACGAGAAAGAGACACGGCTCAAAGAGGTCATGAGGATCATGGGTCTTGGCAATGGTTTACACTGGCTGGCCTGGTTTGTCCTCTCCTTGGTGGTCATGATGGTCTCATGTGTCATACTCATCATTATGCTCAAGGTAATTCTGATAAGGAATAGCAAAATGTTTTTTGTGACTGTTAACATTAGACAGATTCAAAGCTCTTTTCTCAATATTTTCTTATTCAAAGATTACAGTTGAACACATGAATAACTGACTCAGTGTAATGTTTTCTAACATTTCAGTACTCTTTGAAACTATTCCTTTGGCTACAAGACTGATTGTTCCCCTTAACTTCTAGTTGAATGATAGATATTGAGCGAAGAAAAATTTGTTTCTTTTTCCCTAGACTGGTCGCCTCTTACAGCGTGCAGACATTGGTATCTTGTTCTTCTTCATGCTGGGTGTCTGCATGTCCACCATCAGCCAGTGTTTCCTTATCTCGGTTTTTTTCAACAAAGCCAACCTGGCAGCTGTCTGTGGCGGTTTCATCTACTTTATCTTGTACCTGCCTTACACCCAGCTTGTGCAATGGGTCGGGCAGGCAGAAACATGGCACTTCAATCTTGCGGTAAGTATTCTCTCTTCTGCTCTGATGTTTTTATACAGCATTCGATTTTCTGCATTGATAGGTCAGCATCAGTATTTTATACTGCCTCGTACAAGTCATAACTGGTGGCTCTGTTTGCAATGCTATTTTCTGGACGACAGCTTCGTGGATGCATGTGATTACTGAGGATGTGGATATCAATGCTTGTTATTTGATTTGCGAGTCAAAAACATATTTGTTCAATTGTATCATTATTTTGGGTAAACAACGTGCAGAAAACATTTATGATGGGGAGATAATAAACTTAAAGTATATAGGACAACATGCCAAGGTTTTGGGGGATATCTCTTTCAGTTTTTGTTTATAAAGCAATTTTTCATTCTTTAGTGTTACAATAGTTGAAAATCACGTAGAGTGAACATACACACAGTAACTTCCAGTCTAAATGCCGTTGGAATGTCTTTGCTTGTTATTCATTGTAGTAGTGGATACCTGGGATTTTTGAGTACATTGAAGGCAGTAAGGCGTGTGTTCAGTTCTTGAGTGGGAGTGTTTCTTATGTAGTATCTCCATCTGTCTGCTGGAACATTGTATCCTATTCAGCCTAGATGAGCTCTGGCTCATAAGATTGCAGTAGTCCACTTCTGAATGATTTAAACAGTGTTGATGAAAGTGTAAAACATTTACAACAACAGCAAGAAAAAGACCCCAAAAAAAAGAAAGCAGTAATTTGAGCTATTTATTAGTAGCTGCTTTAGTTTTTTGCTCTATATTTTAAGTATGCTTCTGTTATATCATCCTGTTTTGATATAAGGCACTGGTTTTTCTCTCTGACAGTGTCTGTCCTCCAATGTTGCAATGGCTATGAGCTGCTACTACCTGTCTATCTATGAAGAGCAAGTGGTGGGTGCTCAATGGGGCAATATAGGGACCAGTCCGGTGGTGGATGATGTCTACAGTCTCCGCTCCAGTATCCTCATGATGTATGTCGATGCTCTCATCTACCTCATTCTGACCTGGTACATAGAGGCTGTCTTCCCAGGTAAAAATAAAAATGGCGGTACTACTACTACTACTACTACTACTACTACTACTACTACTACTACTATTACTACTACTTCTCCTCGTCCTCCTCCTCCTCCTTGTCCTCCTCCTCCTTCTCCTCCTCCTCTATTTCTTAGAGAAAAATAAGTCATAGGTTCTTCAACCCTCAAGAAAACTGATTTGTGCTTGTTATTTGACCTGTTTCCTAACCTTACACTGTTTTCAAACATTTTAAAATATTTTTACTGAGCTGTTTTCCCACCCCTCTCCTACTCTCATATCTGCATTTAAACACTTTCATCAATGTAATAAGTTTGATTATGCTTTCCTTTATGGATATCACAATTCATATGACTTCCTATATATATATAACTTTATCTCTTTCAGGTCAGTATGGGATGCCTCGTAAACCATGGTTCTTCCTGCAACGATCCTACTGGTGTGGTCATGCGAAGTCACACTCTACTGAGGCTGGTGGTCAAGTGGCCAATGGGCATGCAGCAGGTGGGATAAAAGTTGATAAGATAAACTTCTAGTTTGATTTATCTTCTTTGAAAGGAAAAACTGTTTTCTTACAATGAATGAGGCTCGAAGAGAAGATGAAATATATGTTTGTCCTCCATTTTCATATCATTTTTTCAGTTTCAAGCAGTCTCAATTGAGCCAGTCTGTTTCATTATGTGGGCATTTATCTAAGAGAGGTTTTTTACATTTCACCTAAAGAACACAAAGTTCATGCAGGTAGTCATAGGGAGCAGACATTTATGAAAGATCTGCAGTATTTTAGGTTTTCCTTTTATCTGTTAAAAGTGATAATTGTATATGTATTTTTACATGTAGAGGGTGCTGTTATTTGAACCTACTTGTTTCCAAAGTAAATCTTGTTTTTATATGTCTTCTAGCTGGCCCCCAGCTTGGGTTGCCTGTACACTATGCGTTTTATTCTTTTATTCTCTAAACTCAGAAGACTGATGAAAATATCTTCACTCCCATTCCAGTGTCCAGTCATGACATTGAGAAGGAGCCAGCAGACCGCCGTGTGGGCGTGGCAGTGCGCAACTTGTGCAAGGTGTATAACAAAGGTGACAAAGTGGCCGTGGATGGCCTGTCTATCAACTTCTTCGAGGGGCAGATCACATCATTCCTGGGACACAATGGCGCTGGCAAGACGACTACCATGTAAGTAGAATGGTTTTGCATGGGGATGAATTTATTTTTTGGGGTCTGGATCTTGAAAGAAAGGCTTTCATTTGTTCTGGTCATAAAAACTGAAGCATTCAGTGTGCCTCTTAGTGCAGTGTTCCTGCCAAGTTCAACAGACTTAGTGAAGTCCTATTATTGGTTTCACAATACATTATAAGACTGTTCTCACATTCAAGTGAATAGAAATGTATCTGCCTCTTTTTTCAGGGTGGATGGCTCATGTGGGCTCTGATGTGGCCTGTTGCTGTATACTTCATTTCAGTTTTTCTATGGTCATATTCTGTTCTTGGGAAAATGGGGTTGATATCTGTCTTGTTTGATATAAACTGCCACTCAATTACAAAAATTTGATTTCACATGCATTTTGTTGTATTGTACAACTTCTGTCTTTGTGCAGTAGAAATGATTTTAAGCTGTTTATTTAACCTGCAAATTGTCGAACCGATCAGTCATCGTGTGTTTGGAGTTTCTTGTCATTATGTAAATTCTTTGGGTTTTTTGTTACTGCTTCTCTTTGTGGCTGTTCAGGTCATTTTGAATTGTTACTAGTAGGGAGAGGAACTGTATTCTCACTACATTATATAGTGTCATTGTATGGAATGGACAGATATGTAGAGTTGTCTATTTGGTTTATTTTGTGACTGCCTGCCTTTTCAGTCAGGGTAGATTCTTTTTTTGTGTTTTTTTTTTAAGGATACACTTTACAGTTGAGGTCAGGCTTTAATTTGTAATGATACAGTTAGGGTCACAGTTTTTATTAGATCTTTTGTCTGTTTGCTATATTTCTAAAGAGACAACTTATGCTACTTATGTTCTGTCTCTCCTACTTCTGTTTGCAGGAGTATTCTGACGGGTCTGTTCCCTCCAACTTCGGGCACTGCTCTGATCTATGACCAGGATATCCACACAGACTTTGACCAGATTCGGAGTAGCCTGGGCATGTGTCCTCAGCACAATGTACTTTTTGACTTGTAAGATGTTTGGCTGAAATTTTTTATTTAAATAGGTTACTGGTTGTTGCCTCCTCATTGTTTTTAATGCTTTCTGTGATTTGGTAGTTTCATGTAGTGAAGTATTTTAGTATTGTAGGCATTATCATATCTGCTTATTCTAAGAATACTGCACAACTGGAAGAATAAAAGTTTACACCAATTTCTAACTCATGTAATTGTTGTTGCTTCAGTGGACAGTTAATAATAACTTAAAAATGATTCCCAATTCATTAATGCTGGTACCCATTGTTTTTTTAATATGAAGGACATAGCTGTATATCCGAACAAATACTTTTTCCACAGCTAGCATTGCATAGAGTCAACAGACTGCAGTTTTGTGCAAATCTCTTTTATACATTATAAAGTGCACAGAGCCTATTTTGGGTAGGGATATTTGCTATACAAATGCTTTCTATTACTCCATGAGCTGATCTGTCAGTGTCTTGAAGTATGAATTCAGCTTAAATACAAAATTACTGTCTGAGCACTTTGAGAAATTATCAATCTTTTTAAAGTTATAATATTGTTTTGAAATGTTAAAGAAAAAAATAGTTTTCAAATACATAACTAGAATTATTCATTAAAAAACTACATTTTTTTCCTTGACACTCCCTCCAATTACAGGCTGACGGTTGAGGAGCATATCTGGTTCTATGCTCTTCTCAAGGGCTGCTCCAAAGACCAGGTGGAGAAAGAGCTGGAGCAGATGCTGGAGGATGTTGGCCTACCTCACAAGCGTGATGTGACGTCAGTTACATTGTCTGGTTAGTACATTACTGACATACTGACTTGCTTCCCTTCTCTGACCCAGCTCTCACCTAGGTCTGAAATGGTGAAATGTTATGGGTTTAATACCCCTATCAACATTATTAGGTTATTTAAGAGACGGGACCTCTTAGTTAAACGTTGGTCTCCGAAAGAACGGAGCCAAATGGGAAATTCATGCAAGGTGCCTTTCTCAAGGACACAACTTCAGACCGAGCTGTGGCTCAAATCCCCGAACCCACAATCTCATGATTATGATTCGGGTAGCCTAATCCCTAGGCTACCGACACCACCACCTAGGTCTGTGCATTTTTTACTTCATCTCATGAAGCAAAATATGCAGGTCTTCTCAAGTTGGTTGGGGGGGGGGGGCACATTGTCAGCATAGAAATTCTTAGGGGGGGTGGGGTGCATTGTCAGCATAGAACTTCTGATGTGACTAAGGTTTTTTTGTGGAATACTTTGTCATTTTGAATGCTAGGATAAGTCATAGAAGGAAATTTGAATTATAACACTGCTCAGCTTTGCTCCGAGGGTTGGTGCAAAGTGTTTGTTTCATTTGTCTTCACCTTATTGTCTGTTTTATCAAACCCATGCTCAAATTATTGAGAAATCTCATTCACTTTATCTTTAAATAACAGACAAATGGAAAAGTACTTGAATAACTAATCAACACTTTTTCATGTAAGAAAAAACAGCATTTGCAAAACTGGAAAAAAAATCAAGCTGGAATCCATTTTTTCTTTGAGCCAGTACAAAGCTTAATGAAATCTACTTATCTTATGCAAGAAGTTGTTCATGATTTAACAATGAATTTATTATACTCTGTTCTTCTTACTGTGCTTTGCTTATCTTATTATTTGCACATTATCATGATAATTTCCTTTCCCGTTTGAAATGAAAACAGTGACCAATGCACTTATAGAGGTATGATTGCACCCTTCTATTTCATGTCAACATTATTTTCTTTTGGCAACTCGGTCAAATCCTTTGACTGTATTACAGTTATTGAGCTGGCCTCTGAAAAATACAATAAACTGAATTTCCAAGTAAGATAAGCTTAGATCTGCACAATATCATTGAAATTTTGAAGAAGTAGCTCTATTTATTTTGGGTTTGTTTCTTTTCTCTTGAAAGGTGGCATGAAACGAAAGCTTTCAGTAGCTATTGCCTTTGTCGGTGGGTCCAGGACTGTGATTTTGGACGAGCCTACAGCAGGGGTAGACCCATATGCACGGCGTGCCATCTGGGAGCTGTTGCTGAAGTTTAAAAAAGGTAAGAAAATTTCATTAATATATTCTTTTTTGCTTCCAGAAGAATAATAAGTATAAGTGCTCCAGATAGGGAAGTACTTCCATGATATTTTTTCCTGTTATCATAATTTTCAACCTCATGAGAGTTTTTTAATGTCTATGTTGACATAACATTCAAGTATCAGACCTAAATGGTTGTCAGTATTGAAGTATGTGCACACTGTTCTCTTTTGATAGACCGAACTATCATCTTGTCCACCCATCACATGGATGAAGCAGATGTACTCGGAGACCGCATCGCTATCATCTCGCATGGCAAGCTGTGTGCTGTCGGCTCCAGCCTTTTCCTCAAGAACAGATTTGGCAGTGGTTACTACCTCACCCTGGCCAGGGAAGACAAAAGCATGACTGGCTCAGACAATAGGTAAGGTTAATGATGTTATACTGGGTTATTTTTAGTATTTTCTTCTGAAGTGAGGGTTGAAAGTGCTGCTTTGGGAATCTTCTGACAAGTTTTGAGTTGTTTTTACTATCATAGGAAATACAAATTAATCATGGCAGTTTGTCCTTTTTGAAAGTGTGCAATTAAGAAAAATAGTGAAATTGCGTGACATATGTCTTCAAAATAATGACATGTTCTTTCTCTTGTTCATAGTGGACCTGATGACTTACTAGGAAAGGAGGCAGTCACAACAGACATGATTCAGGTAATGCTGGGCTAAAAAACGGAAGACAGTTTTTTGTTTTGCACTAGTTTCTTTAATGTCTTTTGACATGCATACAGCTGAATATTGAAAGCAAAGCAGAAGCTAGAAGACTGATTTTGGGAGGAAGGGGGAGGTAGGGTGGGAGAACTGACTGGATAAGGTTTTGTTATCAAACATAGTACAGTCAAACCTGTGTAAGACGGCCACCCACTGTCAAGGAGAAAAGTGGCCGTATAAGACAGGTGGCCGTCTTAGGCAGGACTGATCAAGAAGAAGAAAACAAATTATTCCTATCAGAGGTCACAATCGAAAGTAGCCGCATTGTTGGTTTTGTTGTTGTTGGTGGTGGTGGTTTGTATTTTGTTTGTAATTTTTATTTTGTTGCTGATTTCGCAAAAGGGTGACAATAAAACGAAATGTATCAGACAAGGAAGACAGAGTGCAAAGTAAAAACAAACTCCTGAGTCGCCACCACTCAGAGAACGAGCGACGTTTCTGTCACAAGTTCATGTTGACGTCCTTTGTTACTTTGTTACAGACTGGGTAAACAGTGACCATTCATCTCGCTTACGATTTGTGTTTAAGTTCTGGGCGGGGCTTATGGGTTATGAGGGATCACACGCTTACCTCACCAGCAGCTGAAAATTGGTAGCTATTGGTCAACAGTAGGAGGGGCCTACGCAACATGATCGGTTGGAGGGACTACCTAACAACAGCGACAGGGGATTGAATTATGACCCCTGGCCCACAACGCCAGGGGCCAAAGCACAATTTATGACTAAACGAAATGGGGTCACTAAGGTGGCCATCTTTGACGGGTGTTATTGCTTAATGTGATAGGGGTTGTGTGTTGAAATAAGGTGGCCGCGGCCGCGTTGGACAGGTGCCCGTTTTACACAGTTAAATTATATAGAAAAAACGCAAGGGGGGAAACGGAAAGTGGCCGTTTGTACAGGTGACCGTCTTATAGAGGTGGCCGTCAGGGCAGGTTCGACTGTATTTACAAGTATAGTGGAACCTATGTAAGAAGGAATTGTAAGGGAGCCAGAGAAAAATTCCTTCCTAGACATTTTCTGTCTTAGGCAGGTGAAATTTAGGGTGAGATGGAGGGGGGGGGGTTCATACCCACATCACCCTGACCATCTGCACTGCTAAGGGCTCACATTGATGATTTTCACTGTAATTGAACTTTAGATGGATGGTCCCACCTTTTAAATAGTACAGTATGCTTAAAGGGATATTGAACCAATAGCATGGGCTGTTGAGGGCTCCACTGGTAGGTTCTACTTTTTATTTTTGGCTCTCTGTCTTGCATATTCCCAACACCAAATGGCCGTGATTTTGTTGATATGGTTCTTTTACTCAAACTATACGCCTATTATTTCTGAGAGAATGCAGTTCCTCACATCATTTTCATCATCTTCACTAATGGAAACAATGAATACATTGAAGGGTCGTGAGTGTAATGTTTTTTCTCCCTGACATAAATTAATGTGTTTCCAAATCTCCATTAATGCAATCTATCAGCATCAATTTTCATAACTCTTGTGATTGTTATAGTTGATACTACTTGGGTGCTCTAATTGTATGTACAATTTGTATTTCCTAGCCTGCAGTAGATGGTGAAAGTGCTGAATCTGATGAGGGTAAAACTCGGGAGAGTGGAGAAGTAGGCACTGCAGGTGAGTCAGAGGGTCTGGATTCCACGTCTGTGGAGTGTTTTGAATCAGATGAATGTGTGACCCACTTGGGTATTGTCTTTCAGTGACATGCACAAAGGCTGATAGTGGGTGGTTGGTGGGTGTTCTTGTGTGGTTTGCTCCTTCTTTCTTATCAAACATTTATCATCCTTATTTCTCCTCCTTCTTTTTGTGTTTGTTACATTCTTTTAAAACTTCTAATCTTTGGCACTTTTATGACCTTATTGTGTTGTAAGTGCTGTAAAACCCTTACTAAAAATGCTGATTAATCAAACAAGCCATGATATACACACAAAAGTAAAGTGAATGTGTATAAATAGTCAGCAAAAATTTGTTCGGAGAGGTCGCCAGAAGATGGCTGGTGGTTATGGAAAGTTAAGCTGAACTTGTTGTGGGGTTGGGGTTTTTTTAACCAAAATTTCAAGTTCAGATAGTGAGCAATGTGACTTTAGCTGTCCCAGACTTATTTTGTAGAGTAAAAAGAAAAAGTAGGAAAAGTTTTGGTCTTCAATGTCCATCATGTTAGATACTAAAGACCTTTTTTAGCCAAAAACAAGTAGGGGGAAAATGGATAGGTGCTTTCCCTCTGTCACTAAACATGAATCCTCTTCTCTTTTAGGAAGTAGAAGTGGAGGGTTGTATTTATCATAAACAGAACAGCATCACTGGTGTGGAAATGTAATTGTTCTGTCCTGAGATAATGTGATATCTGTCACTCCAAAAATAGGCAGCTGATCAAATTATTCTGCTTTTTCAGGGTTCTCAGTGTCGCGAGTGGAGGCGTTCATCCAGAAATTTGTTCCATCGGCCACTCTGGTGGAGGACAACAGCATGGAAGTTTGCTTCCGCCTGCCAGAAGACGATGGTCACTCAGGAAAGTTCCAGAAGTTGTTTGCTGCCTTGGAAGTATCCCATAAGGGCCTAGGAGTCTCTAGCTATGGTGTGTCAGACACCAGTCTGGAAGAGGTAAAGCCATCCGTCCTGCACCACGAAGTAGTGATATATGTGTCACAATGCGGTGGAATCAGGCATATGTCAATATTTGGGCATGTGGAAATATTGTAATCATCTTAAAGCTGGTTCATTGGTCTTGCTTTTAATGTAGAAATATCCATTTTTCTCAAATAAAAGTCAAGATATTCTCGATTTAATGAGGGGGGTTCCATCTGATGTTGGAAGTGAAATTAACAAGAAAACAGATGCCAGAATTTGGCGCCTTCCAAAGTTTGAATTTGTCGATGTATGAGAACTGCAAATTTACTTTTTTTTATGCCTTTGACCTATATTTTTCAGTAAAATCTACATAAATATGTGTTTTTAAAAGGACATTTAAGGTATTGAGCAAAAAAAATTGATAAAAATTGCCCAACAGGGGGAAATGTCAGTTTTTTTTACTTACATTGTTTTGATAAGCGCCTGATTTCACCACAATACCATACATATGTTTAGGATGATTTTTTTGCCAAATTCTATAAAATCTTTTGACTACTGCTGTTTTGTGTATTTAGAATAAGTTTGAAGAGCCTGTGGACTTGCATTTGTTATTGTTTTGTAATTACTTTAGATGTTTGTAGGAGAAAAGCCTATGTTTTTGGACAAATAATTTTACCTGGCTGTGCTTTTCCCTTTATCAGGTCTTCCTGAAGGTGGCTGATGGTGTTGTTGAAGAGGATGAGCTTTGCAGATTAAACGTGGAAGAGATGTCAGAAAGTGAGTTTATAGCATTTTGAATAAGTGTCCTTGATAACCTCATTCTCCCTCTCCACACATACGAACACGCACAACACACACCCACCGGAAGAAAATTATATTTTCATTATCTGTAGAAAAAGAAAAACCCCAGTGTTATTGTCTTGAAAGAACACTGAAAATGTTAGAACGTAATCATCATCAAGACTTTGGCTTTGTGTCCTTGACATGCTCTGCTCAGTAGAAACACAATTAAGAACATTCCAAATATCCATTATTTCTGAATACAAAAATGACTATGTTTCTTTTATATATATATATATGGATTTTTGAACTTTCATTAAAAAAACAATTTGTTTTTTCTTAATTAAAAGAGACAGCATTTCCTCAGTTTTAATCTTTAACTTTCAGAATATTTGCTAAGATCTCTCAAAGGTAAGGAATTAATGCTTAATAATCCAATTTTTTTAAAAGCTTGAAAACATCTTTTCAACAGCTAATCTGTGATCTAACCCATCCAAGATCAAATTTTATTATTACCATCTCCAATCTCATCAAAACATTATTTCTTTGAATTTGATGTTATGTTTCTGTGACCTGTCCAGGGTGCAAATGAAATATATGCGGGAAATGTTTATCCGTGGCCATAAATTATTTCTTGAATTCCTCTTCAGTTTTGAGCTTACGATAAGGCTTAATTGTGTAAGTAGTTGGAAAGTGGAGAGCACATACTGAAATATGAGATGAGATTTCCCCTTCAGAAAGTGCGCTTACTTTCAAAATAAAAGCAAGTTGGGTTTTTACCTAACAAGGTGTGAAAAATTGTAGCGTCCAACTACCCTACCATAACATGTTGTCTTAATACTCTACCTACATACCTACCTATACTACCTACCTACCTACCTACCTGCCTACCTACCTACCTACCTACCTACTTACCTACCTACCTACCTACCTACCTACCTACCTACCTACCTACCTACCTACCTACCCACTTAAATACCTACCTACCCACCTACCTATCTACTTAAGGTCTGTGAGCATCCTGTATCAACTCGTTAATTGATGTCCCTGTAGCCATGAGCCATCGTTCATAATGCTTAAGGGGTCGCTAATATTGAAACGGCATTCCCTCAATCTAATGCCAGGGAGATAACCATCTCCATGTATGCATATCATAACTCTTTTACTAATTAAATCATTTGGGGTTACTACTGATATATTTCTTAACGTGATGATATCTTTTGTAACAAACAAGCATTTTTATAATATTTTGATTTATTTGATGAGTAGGCTCTATTGTTTTTACTATTGCAAGTTCTTAATCATAAATATCATGCCTTTTATGTCCAACTGCATTTTTTATTGTACCTATTTGTATTTTTAAGTCAATATACTTGTTAATTGCAATTGTGAATTTTTATCAATATGCCAGTATGTTCAAGCAGTTTGTTATTTTTAGTAGAGGTTTTTATTCTTTCTTGATTTTTTTTCTTGTGATGCACATTGAGCTTCTCGAGATGAAAATGATTATTATAATTATTATCATAATTATTATTATTATTATTATTATTATTTTTATTATTAGTTTTATTGGTTCATTTATACTTTTAGCAATTGTTTGCTTGGCTTAATTGGTTCCATTTTCTTTTTTCATCTCCTACTGTTTTGCTCTCTGTCTCTTTTGTGAGTGTTCATGTGGTGCCTTCTTTTAGCCTATTATTGGTACCCCACACCTTTGTCTATCCACTGAGGAGATGTCCTCTCTCTTCCTTTTTATTTGCCTTCTATGATAATTTTTTATCTAAAAAGTTTGTCTTTCATTTGATGTTTCCAAGGTTATTTAGTTTTTCAGTCTATTTATTTGGCCTGTTAGGTAATATTTTGATACGCTTAACCTTTGGAGTATTTACTCCTGACGTTGCCAGTTTTTGCTGTCGATAGTGGTCTCAGTATCTTTTTTTACCATTCATTTCAAGATTTTTTTTGGCTTGTGCCCAGTATTCAAGTTGCAGATACTGCATTCTTCAATTTGACTGTCCATGGTGCTCTTAATATTCTTTCATTTCAACACTTTTTGGGTTATTTTATTACAGTTCAAGTAAACAATGAGCCTTTTCCCCCCATTAATTTCCTTGGTTTGTGCTCTATATTTAAGTGGCAAATCCAGAAATGGCTGTAGGGATGATGTATATCTTAATTATAGATCCTGCCTTTGTGGGCCTGTCAATGTCTTCCAACTTACCTTTGATTTCGTCATTATTATACTTTTTCTTCTCTTTCCTTGTTGACTAAGATTTTTTTTAAAGACATTTGAAGGTTTATGTACAGTAGCTCTGAATTTTAGGTTCTATTTTATTGCAGTTCAAGTAAACAATGGGCCTTCCCCCCCCCCCCTCCCCCCCTCTCCCCCTTTAATTTTCTTGAATAGACGAAAAACTTTTCAACTGCATAATTCTTCCAGTTCCAGTTGACTCTCCATATCACAATAATTCCCTTTAATAAGTACAGTGAAATTATTTCTCTCTTCATGTTAATTCATTTTTAACAAATATATTCCAGATGGACGATATCCTCAACGTGCGACTAGGAATAGTTTTGTCAATCGGTTCAAGAGTTCTGTCTCACGGCTGCGTAGAAAATCAACCTTGAGGACAAAACTGATCTCAGACGATGATGGAGAAGAAAACAATGGAGAAACTCTAGAAGAAGAAGGTAAGAGGCTTTTTTTCTAAAAAATAATCAGTAGACATTAAAGAACTTATTTGGTATATTTTCCTGGCCTAGTGCTGCTTAAAACAGTTTTTAGGCTAAATGTGGACTTCTGAATTATTTCCTGCTTTTTCTAACTTTTTGTTAATCATTTCGCTAAGATTTTCTATTTCGACACTTAAACTCACTGAAAAATGAAATGATCTCCAGCACTCCATAATTTTTTCCCTTTATTGCCCTCTCTATTAATTCTCTCATTATAAATTATCAATGTTTTAATTAAATTATTTTGCAGGAGTTCAGTTACAGTTATTCTGTCAATGTAAATCCTTTCTAACCTTCTTAGCAGATGGTTAGGGAGCACTAGGATGTTGTTTACTCCTTTTGAATGTATTTCAATGTTTCTGTATGTATTGTCCTGAGTTACTTCTGATCAAATATTGCACTACTCTGTTGACTTGCAGTAAACTACAAATACTTAAATGGATAGTGCTAACACTCATAAATATGTGGCATCAATGAGAGTTAGATCATGAATTAGAATCCTATCAGAGGCACAACTTTGTGTCCTTTGGAAAAGCTGTTTACAAAAATTTTTCTCACTCTATGCTACCGAAGTGTGAATGTGAGAATGGGTACCTCGCTATAGATAGTAAAAGATCTTGTCAGTTTGTTCGTGTAATTAGTGCATGTAATCCGCACATATAGCACTGTGTGCTTCACAGGAAGCTGAGAATGTTTTTGAGTTATGTTTTAGGGTCTTCTGGGGTAAAAATAGTTGTAAAGCACATTGAACATGCGGTACAAAGAGTGTGGATATGTGCTCATTATTATTGTAAATTTTAAAAATATTCCTTTTCCAGGTCTAGGTGCCGAAAGTTCTGAGGGCAGCTTTGGTCAAAAGGAGACCCAAACATGTGGCAAGCTCCTCATAGTACAACAGCTGATGGCTCTGATCATCAAACGTTTCCATCATGTGAGGCGCAGCAAGAAAAGCTTCATCTGTGAGGTGAGCTTTGTAACGTTTGCATCACACGTTGCTTCTAGCATAAGAAAACTGAGTGATTCCTAAATGTTTTTGCTAACCGTGTAAAGCAGGGTTGAACTGAGTTTAGCATTAGTATTACAGCAACAACATGTATTGCGGTTACTTGGCCTTTACCTGTGGTGAGTATTCAAAACTTTTTTAGCTGTTCAACTTCACCAGCCTGATTTGACGTTTCTCCTTAGAAGATGGTTAACAGATGTTCTTATAGGGTCTTCTCTTTCTGTTTTGTATACTTCATGAGTATACTCTTTTTATTTGTTCTAAGGGTTGCAATCCAACCAGCCCTAGAAAAGTGGAGCTGTTGTTGCACTAACTCCCAGTAAATAACAACTCGGTCATTTTCGCTCTTCCCTATTATTATTACAATGATCATCATCATCATATTATTATTAATAAACATTAAAAGGGAATTTGTCTTGTTGAAAACTAGATTTTGCTGGTTCAAGATCTTTGTCATCCCTGGGTGTTTCTTGTGCTGATAAGAAGGATAAAAACCTGGCTCTGGATAGCAGATGCTATTTCATATATCTTTTTTAGCAATTATCAACTATTGCAATAATTTTCAAAGAGTTTAGAGTCATAGCCTGGGAGTTTGGTCATTGGGGCTACTTTCTGTTGTTATAAGATCAAAACTGGTTTTGAGCATTGCTGTGTTATTTGTTCTCTTTTACACTAGAATCTATTCATTCAACTTTGGGACAGATTTGAAGAAAAAAAAAGACTGCGTTATTGACCTTCATTAAAATTTGTCATACTATGGCATATATGTAAGAGAATATGTAAATCAGACAAAATGTCAGATAAACAATATTCAGATAATTACAAAGGAAGTACTGTAATTAATAAATCAGTAAATTCTTTCGGCACATACGTACACCCTGCAGGTTTGTAATTTAGCTGTTACCGCTTTCTTTCCATTATAACATGGGTTTTGTGACCCATCTGTTTCAGATTCTACTTCCAGCTGCCTTCATTTGTCTGGCAATGGTGGCCTCATTGGTCATCCCTCCATTCTCTGAGGATGACCCTCTAGAGCTGCAGCCATGGATGTATGAACCTTCTACTGGCAGCTCTTCCCTCTACTCCTTCTACAAGTTGGTATTTTTTTTCTTCTGTTTTTCTGGTAGTTACTCTATATTTGTGGTTCACAGAGACTGAGAATGTGTTTGAGTCAGTGTATGTTTGAGAGAATGTGTGTAATGTGTTTGTGTAGGCCTATTGTGTGTTTTTGATTAAATGAATTGAAATGTATTTATCTATTTATGTTTTGTGATTGTGTGGCTAAAGGGTATCTAAGGGAGGTTGTTTAGCCTACTTTTTTATATCCCTCTTTCAGTTTTTGGGTTTTTTTCATTTTCTTTTCATCATTATGTCGGTTTAACGCTTTGCAAAATGTGTCACATTTTTTCAAATGTCCAACCCTAACCCCAAAAGTCATATTCAGTCTTTGATTTGTTTCAGTGTACTTTATGAATACATTATCCTATCTATTTTTCTTTTAATCTCTCCCTAGTAATGTAAATGCTAGTGACCCTGTTGGTGCAAATCTAGTGAACTCGATGCTGAATATGCCCTACTATGGCACCCGTTGTATGAACCCATCAAAGCATTCTATCAGGTCTGTATGCTAGAAATATTTTAGATAAACCTCTGTAATGTTATATTTTATTCTTTTCTATTGTATTTAAATTCTTTGGGCTTCTACTGATATGTAGGTAGAGAAAATTGAGAACCATTGGTTTATTTGAACTTCTGTATGATCTAAAAGAGGCATGTAAAGCAAGAATGAATTTATTTGGTATGTACAAACATATCCCCCACCCCCATCCCTCATCCTTTCAGTCGTCTTGAAATATATTGTAAACAGAGTCAGATTTGGTGGATGCAGTCTAAATTAGTTTGAGGAAGTCACATTTTTATCGTCAAACCTGCTCTAATGACCAACTAATCTAGATAGTCATCTATACAAATGACCACTTCTTACTTCCCTTTGCATTTATTTACATTATAAGGACACTGTTCAAGACAACCACCTATCTAAGACAACCCTTGACAACAGGTGTCCGATTTGGATCATTTCGGCTGTATTTTATAAAACTGCAGATTCCATTTTATTGATGCTTTGAAACTGTGCTTTGCCTTGCAGCCACAAGCCTTGTCTGCCTCCTCTCACTTATGCATGGAGCAAACGATACCTTTCACAGGACTTGTCAAATAGTTCTCAGTGCTCATGTGCTACAGGTGGTCAGGTCTGTACTCAAGGTCAGTACACACATATTGATGGTCTTATTCTCTTTACTGTGTAACAGGAAGAAAGAAATAAGTCAATTTTTTTTTGTTCCAAACCATTACCAAGGTTGATCTGCAGGTCATCAGTAAAAATTGGAAGTTGGCATGGACAATTAGTAGTATAAAAATACTGTTGGTTTCCCTTTTGTGTCTTCTCTTGTTATTAGAATGAGAAGGAATATATTTACTTGTTGAAAAATGTTCGCTAGTTCCTTGTCTTTCTCAAAGTGTCTCTTTTTAACTCTTTCCCCCTCCTCTTCTCGTTATACCTATCAGAAATGGGAGAGACAAACTGAGTTTTTGTCTACCTTTCTCCACTTGTTCCCAATAATTGATTTTCAGTTGTTAATTACATTGCTTTTTTTTTTTCTTTCTCTTGATTTCTCAATACCATATGTTTAGGGTTTTTTTTTAATTTGCCTTGTTTTCCTTTTATATTTTTCTCTTTGCATTTTTACTCTCTTTCTTATCAAAGTTATTTTCTTAAAATCCAGGATATGTATAAGGTTCTTTGTTGACCCCTTGTAGATCTAATGATAATTTATGTGTGTGCAGCAGTGTGTGTGTGTGTGTGTGTGTGTGTGTGTGTGTGTGTGTGTGTGTGTGTGTGTGTGTGTGTGTGTGTGTGTTGATGTTTGCCTGTGTGTGTATGCATTTAACATGCTGAAACAGATTTCACTTAGGGGAGATCAGTAAAATGTTGTCTTATCTTATCACATGGCATCACATCACATCACATCATATCACATTTCATCACATCCTTCTTATTTTATTCTTGTCTTGTCTTGTTTCGTCTTGTCTTGTCTTATCTATGTCAACAAAACTTTGTGTACCATGCAGATTTTGAAGAGGAGCATCCTTCAATGAAGAAGCTGAGAACCAACGACTTGTTTTGGAACATGACAGGAGAGGATTTACCAGGTTGGCTTGTCAGAACCAGACATCTATATGAACAGAGAAGGTTAGTTGTGATTTATTGTTTGGAGTTTTGTGGGGAATGGGTTAGATCTTTAGAGGAAAAAAATATAGTGACTGATAATTTAATGCTTTTGGTATTGTTCTTTTTGTTTGTTTTTATTTGTTGTTATTATTATCATCGTTATTCAATGTTGTTGATACCTGGTCCTTTATTGGCTAATCTACCTGACATGACTGGTGTACCTGAGTTCTCTTGGGTAGACTGCTAGATTTACATCACTTCATGCCTGGTGTGAGGATACTGCATAGAAGGAAAGGCTACAGGTAGCACATGCCCAGGCATGCCGTTTGATTCATAGAGTTAGCATCTATGGAACTGATCACTTTTTTAAACCAATGCTAGTAGATACATTTTTCTGTTGAACACTGTAGTCAGATTAAACTAAGCATGCTGCTTCCAGTGCCTTTTTTCTACAATGTAATAACAAAGACACAGAAAAAAGCTTCTGTATTTCCAGTTCTCAAAAATGTATCTGTGTAGAATCTTGAGTATTGTTTTGTTGTTTTTTTTCTTCATGTTAAATGTGTTTTTTTCATGACGTTAGCTTTGGAGGCTTCACCATGGGGGAGAGAAACAGACTGGCGGTACTGAGCGAGAAAGAGATCAAAGATGTTTTGGACCAACTTGCTGAGTCGGCCGAGGGACAGCTTGATGGTGTCAAATCTTCAGATGACTATTGGAGACAGCTGGAGCTAGTTTTGAAAGGGGGATACACATCTAGTAGTGTGAAGGTGAGATTTTGAGTTAAAAGGAAAAATATTGCATGTTGGTTGCTTCCTGAAGACTGCCCAGCTATGTTTCGAAAGAGATTTTGTGAAAATGAATAACAAGTACCAGAAGAAACTTGATGCACAGTTTGAAAAAAAAAAATCTTTTTACTCCCTTTTCTTCATCTTCTGAAAAATTAAGAGAGAGGAGGTAAAGCATTCACCAGCACAGCTTTATGGTTTAATTTGTTGAGTCTTTGCACCCACATCAACCCCCCAGCCCCCCATCAAACCTCCCCAACCCCACAGTTCACATGTTATTGTATAGACAACACAGCAATGATGGGAATGTAGCCTCTGGTTCCTTTTATGTGAACATACTAGTATGTTATGCATATGAGAAGTTTTGATTTTTAAGATTTAAAGACAAATTGGGGCAGAAGAGCAGGAAAAATGGCTGATGTTCAGGTACACCAGTGATAGTGCTGACACATACTAGTTTGTATTCCATACACTTTGAAGTCCACTTAAACTGAACATAATCAATCTGAAAACAGTGGTAAACGGAAAGAACATGAAATTCTTGATTTTTTTTCTTCTGTTTAAGCAAACTCTCTAAATTGAAAACTTTGCTAAACTGATGTAACTTCAGCAGTCCTGCAGATTTCTGTTAAAGCAAAATCCACTGTATTATTATAATATTCTGCCTGATGATACTGTTGGATAGTGATATTGCTGTGTATGGCTTCTTTATTATATCAATGTTGTTTTTGTCTGTCCATCTTATTTTTCACTGCCATTAAATGATCATTAACTTGTCACTCAAACGAATGATGTTCTACTTTGTTGACCCAGGTATGGTACAGTAACCGTGGTTTCATGTCTCCGCTGGCCTACCTGAATGCTATGAACAATGTCATCTTGAGAAGTCGACTTCCAGCAGGCTCCAATCCCCTGGACTACGGCATTGTCACTACCAATCATCCCTTCAAGTTTACACGAGAACAGTTCAACGGGCAAGGAGTGTAAGTGGTACAATTGTTCAGTACTTTCAAAATCGTAGAGCTTCTCTCTCTCTCTCTCTCTCTCTCTCTCTCTCTCTCTCTCTT